AACACATGAGTCTTCGGAGTCTTTAATTTACTGAGCAATATGAGTAGGATTAAAGCCGTGGCTTTGCCAGGTAGATCCAGTCCATTCCTTAGCTTTCCAGCCTCATGGCTGAGGTACTGGTTGTAGCCAGGTTTACTGCCACAATTCTATGGCGTTTCAAGGTCCCTGCCAGCCAGCTAGCTACAACAGACAACAGTCAAGTCCTCTCTCTGTAGCCGGCCCTCCTGCCTCAGTCAGAGTTTGCCCTGGCAGGACGGCCCAGAAAGCCGGCATTTTTAAACAGCACAGCTTTTTTCCTGCTACGGCTGAAAACCGAAAAGCATGCATTCAGCTTTTCGTCAACACCATTTAAGTGTTTCGTGGCAGGACCTCTTAATGAGCTGCAGGGTTTTGCAGCTAAAGCTGAGTCAGGAAGCCTCTCTTAGATGAGAGTGCTTGCTTGCCTCTAGCAAGCAGAGTAGACCCGAAAAATTTCTGCTACCAAGAAAACATGCTTCACTCCATTCTTTCCCAAGCTTTCTCAGGCTTTTTGTGGATTCAGTTATCCTCACGTTGGGCAGCCAGCATCCGAACTATAACCAGAGAAAGCCTTTGCCATCCCTCGGAGCCCCACCTGGGAAGGCTTTGCTACTTCATGGGTCTGGCACCGGGAAAGATTTTTGATCCTCTTCCCTGAGAGTGAAAACTCCCATCTACATGGAGGCACTTTTCTTTTTTAAGTGTTTTATTAGGAAAATATCTGTTATGTTCCTTAGGAGGAAATCAAAGAATAAGACAAAGGGTCTGACTTCAAAATGCTTCTAGTTCGATGAGTGGGACAGGCAAGTCGATTACTACGGAAGAACAATATAATGATAGAAGTGGCTAACTAAGGAATCACAGAGGATGGTCTTCCAAGAAGAGGTGTATGTGTTAGATCCAAAAACGAGAAGCTCGGCTAGCTAGATAAGGAGGAAGAGGAGCAACAAGAATGAGTTATCCAGAGAGAGGAAGCAAACCGCTCAGGAATCAGCCCGTCTGGCAGGAAAGTTGCCTGTACATCAAGAAAAAAAATATATTAGTCAGAATATACTAGTATTCTGGAAAATTCTTTCTGCTTGCTACATGGAGAATGGGTTGAAGGAAGTGAGGTCAGAGGCCTTCTGACTTCCAAGAAATGAAAGAAATGATGAGGCCTTGAACTGGGCACGGAAATAAGGAGACATTAAAGAGACAAGCTCTCCGGGACTTAGCGACTGCTTGGATACACGGGTGAGGCTGAGTAAACCTTCGGATGGGAGCCAGCTGGATGGATGTGCTGGGTGACATGAGGAGGAAGAGCCAGGCTGGAGGAGGCACAAAGAAGACAAGAAAACCTCCATCTTGAGTATATCACACCTCTGCTGTATGAACAAGGATAAACCACTTCACTGGAAAATCAAGAGAGCTGTTTCTCAGACAGGCATGCTGGCACAGCTCATGGTCTTGACAGGCTAAGGTAAGAGAATCACTGTGACTTTAAAGTGAGGCTAGGCTACAAAGCAAGACCCTGTCTCAAACAATAACAATACGAACTACAGAAAAGAGAAAGCTTTTCTATAAGATGTAATATAAGACTCATATATATATGAAAGGGATATAAATGCTCAAAGGCTGTTCATACGTGGAACACAGATGTAATCACATGTCAGTGAGTCTAAGAGGCATATCACAAAGGGAGAAAACTTACAACAAAAAAGCTCATTCTTCTTTCTTGTCACTGGACTGCAGGTTTTGTGAGAGTCTTGCTGAATCTTTTCTTCTTACCTCTAACATGTGCCTGACACCTGACAGGTTCCCAGTAAATGCTGAGCAAACGAGGACATACTAAATCCCATGTTACATTAAACCCACACATTTACAGTGTGTGCGTCAAAGACTGGAGAGACAGGTGGCTCAGCAGCTACGGTTGTGCACTGCTCTTGTAGAGGCCTGGATTCAGTTCTCAGCACTCACATCAGGGAGCTCACAACTGGCTGCAATTCCAGTCCCCAGAGATGGATGCTCTCTTCTGGTACTTGTCTCATCCCCTGCTCCAAATAAAATAAAATCTAGAAGGAGGAGGAGGAAGACACTTAAACATCTCCCTTACCTTTCTAGACCTGGACATGATAGCACATACCTGTAATCCCAACATTCAGGAGGCTGAGGCAGGAGGATCATCTGACCTGGACTTGTGTAGCAAATACTAGACCAGCTACGGAGGGCAGTAGGAAGGGAGGGAGAGAGGGAGGGAGGGAGGGAGGGAGGGAGGGTGGGAGAGAGAGAGAGAGAGAGAGAGAGAGAGAGAGAGAGAGAGAGAGATATCCTGTTTCAAAAAACACACAGCACACCAAACCCCAAACAAGGCAAAACAACCTCTCATATTTTAGGAGCCTATGAGGATCTCTAGATGGATTTTATCTTCCTACAAAATCCTGAGCTTGCAAATCTATTTGTGCTCAGCTCATCACATTGTAAAGGGGATTGAAGCAAGAGCTAGTTCTGAAGCCATAGTCCCAAATCATCCGACTTCTTACCTTTGGAAATTAACTATTTGTTGACCTTAGAGTTGGGAAAGTTAAATGACATGAAATAGGGAGCACAAGAAAGTTAAAAATCAGTCCGTCAATTTGTCCCCTTGGGATTATATTTATACACAAAATCTTAGGACATCTTCTATTTTTTCTTTTTTCAATTTTTAGATAGGGTCTCATGTAGACCAGACTGGCCTTGAGCTTCCTAATTACCCAAGTACAACTTTGATCCCCTGATCCTCTTGCTTCCAACACCCCAATCTCTGAGTGTTGGATAATAGGACCATGATCCAAAGTACTATCGTCTTCAGGATTCCAGCAGCGTCTGCTCACCAAAGATAGTCACAGCTGGAGTTGCTGACTATTGTTATTCTTAAAAAACGATTACCGGGCGGGTTGGCGGAGCCCGCCATGAGAAAGCGGCTACAGGAGGGCACGCTTCCTTGGCCCACGGTGGCGGCAGGTAACAGACACGTAAACACAGGAAATAGCCATAAGTATTTATTAAGGAAGAGGGAGAAAGAAAGACAGAGAAAAGAGATAAAAGGAGAGAGGAGAGATAAAAGAAGAGAGAGACAGAGAAAACGCGTGTGCACGCCAAGGAAGCAGAAAGAGGAAGGGTCCCAAGATGGCGACGGGCAGGTCAGAGGTTATGGGAGTGGGCGTGGCTAGGGCAGGGACCGAAAGAATAACAACTATGACCTTTCCTCTTGGAAGCAAAGAGGGGCTGAGGAGGATGGGGAACCATCACTTGAGTTTGGAGCCACTCTTCCCAACCACTTGTATGCAATTCTGCTTTAATTGCAGGTGGCCTTGTGGGGTGGAGGACTAGAGTTTAAAGGTGGAGAGTGAAGGGTGGGGGCTCTACACCCTAAGGGGTGGGGGACCGATCCTGTATATCAGGTGCTGAACTTCCAGTATATCGGCTGCTTTTAGGTCTAATAAACTCATTGGTTCCTCAGAATGAACGTTGTTGGTAGTCAGAACTGTAGAAGGGTGTAGGCGTATTTATATTTTCCATAGGAAAGGCATTTTAGCAACATGGGCACACACCACAGACACTAGAGCTTGTAATTTCTTGAAGCAGTTGAGAGAACCCCTGAAGGCGTCGGGTTACTGCCTGCATACCCGATTTGCTCTTCTTTTTTGTATCATCTGTACATCTTCCTGGTCATAGGCAGTTCCATAATGACCTGTCAATAGTGGTCAATCTTCAGGAAGTGCCTAGATTCACTTCCTGTTCAAGAATAAAGCAGCATACCCTAACAGTTTTTCTCTCAAATTTAGCTCCTTCCCCCCCCCCAACCCCAGTGTCTTTGCATTTTCTGTATGGTTTGCCCACTGCTAAACTCCCTGCTTCCAAAATTTTAAAAAAGAGCTTTGCTTCTGTACAAGTGTGGTTTGAAATTGGAGGTCTACAGACCGCCTTTATTCTCCATTGGTAAAACGGCTGGCTTAAAAATACTTATTTTGCCGGGCGTGGTGGTCCACGTCAATAATCCCAGGTTGAGTCAGGGGGATAGCCCAGAGTTCCAGGCCACCAGAGAGCTACAGTGTGAGGCCCTATCTCAAAAGCAAAAACCCAGTTCATTTTGCAAAGTTGTTCGAAGATCATCAGTATTACAGTGCTTAACCTGTGGTTCTCAAAGGTAACACGTCATCGGCAGGAAAGGGCTTCACACCTCTGGACACCTTTGGCTTTGAGGAGGCCTGGCCCTTTAAGGCAGAGCCGCCCCAACCTCCAGCGCGCGTCTCCGCGCCCCGCCCCTCGGATTTGGGGGCGGGAACCTCCGAACCCGGAACTGACGGCTACGCGTAGCCGGCGCGGCCAATCGGCGTCCCGGAAGGAGCGCGTTTCGGCGTCTGAGCTAGTGAATGACAGCAGCGCCGCCCGCCGGTCGCGGCCGCGGCCCCGCCGGAGTCCCGAGCCTCCTGTCAGCGCGTCCCTCAGCTAGGCGAGCGGCGTGCGTCCCCGCGTGTCCGTGGCCCGGCGGGCTCTCCCCGGCCCCTGCCCTGTTGTCCCTCCGCTGCCGGCGCCATGGGCAGCGAGCAGAGCGCGGAGGCCGAGAGCCGCCCCGGCGATCTGAACGCCTCAGGTCGGTGCCTCACCTCCCGCCCGGGCGCTGCTGGCGGAGCCGGCGGGCCCACCGTGTGCCCGAACTCAGAGAAGGCGTGGCCTCCCGCCCCAGCCCGGTCCCCTGAACCGGCACGCTCGCCTCCGCGCTAGTCTTTAAAAGACGACCTCGTGGATGGTCGGTTCCAGATCTCGGCACTCACGCCGAGATTTGGCTCCATGCGGATGGCTAATTCCCAGGACCTCTAAGATCAGGCTTTCTGAAAAAAAAAAAAAAAAAAAAAAAAAAACGAGGTGTCGAGCGAGGTTCCTTCTCAGAAGGGACCTGTGAGCGCTGGGCGGTCACTTTCAATGTTTGGGTGCAAATGTTACCAGAAACTGCTTTTCCCATTCAGGTCTGTTTTTTTAAAAATGAAGTTGACCAGATGGCAGGCAGGGTCTGGTGTATCTCCTGTTGTCATCATTTTTTAGATTTCTCTAAGAGTTTGAGGTAGGAATTGGAAGGGAATTTTGCTAGACCTATAGTGAGCGCTCAATAAAACAGCTTGTGATCGAAAACCATTTGGTCCTTTTTTTTTTTTTCCCCCTACCCACTTAGGTAACCTCTGAGACTGCACTAGGTAAGCTCAGGGGTTGCTAAGCCTTTTAAATTAAGATCTCAGACCTAAAAAGAGTTTTCAGAATGGCTCGCTGCTTGGTCCCATTTGCCACTCAGAAATGTGGAAGCTAACAGGTGTCGGGGGTGATTCATGCAGAAGGGCCATTCCTTGAGGCCTGCTGTCTGGGAACTTGCGTCTATTGGCCTTGCTGTGTTTTGCTTCCTTGGAAGACCCAGAGTGTCGTGTCTGTTTATAACAAAACCTCAATAACGGCCATCTCTTGCTTTCTTGCCTCTATGCCCAGCCGGAAACATAGTTTAGGGAAAGGAGCATGGCGCCCTGTTGCTCACTGGGGAACCAACAGCATAGGCTTACTTCTGAGGGAATTTGCATCCTCTCCTGTGCCTGGTGCCTTGCACATGTTTATGTGCAGTATTTATAGTGTCCCCATTTTTACACACATCTTTACCCATTTTATACATGAAATAACAGAGATGGACTAGAATGCTTTGACGTCCCCTTTGGAGTCTAGGGAAAGGAGAACCATGGAATTTGTATCAGGAAAGATGTTTTTGGTACTACTTCTGTAAGATGTTAGATAAATTACCAAGCTGGGATAAGCTGTTTCTGAAAAGCAATAAAAGTAGCAGAGACTTCCTCCCCCCCCTCCCAGAGTGCAGCCCCCAGGACGACCACCACGCATCAGGAGAGGCTAGTTTCCCGAAGGCAGAGTAGTTCTGTGGTGTCTATCCTCAGATCAGACTGATGAGCCCTAGTATACAAGCCTGTGAACCTTCAAGTTCTACAGAATTCATTCTTGTTCCAACCAGGAAAATGTTTGGATGAGATGTCTTGTTCAGGATTGAACCCCTTCCCTCCCAAGGAACCTGGAATTGACATGCCTCTGAAGCGCCCTCCAATTTTCTGAAGGTCGCTACAGCCTGAAACGGTCCTGTTGATTGCTTCTGTTCTTTTTGCACTAATACTGCACTAAGACTCACTGGAGCTTTAGGAATAGACTTTGTACTAAGGTCCCAGAGACCTTCAGTGCCTTTCCTAATCCTGTTTCTAGGGCTGTTGATCTTGGGCAAGTCCCAGACAGTTTTATTCCTTCATTTGTAAACTATGGACATATATCAGGAGATCAGGACAATCAAAAAAGGAGACATTTTAAAAAAAAATTTGTGTGTTGAATAACGAAATGCTTGGTTATTCAAGAATTTCATACATGTTATGTTTCTATATGTTTGAAAGTTTTGGTTTTTTAATTGATATACATGTATATATGTGTGTATATACGTGTATATATACATACACATGCATATGTATTTCTTAGGCTAGGGCCTTAGCTCAGTTTTAGGGCACTTGCCTAGTATTTGAGAGGCTTTGGTTACAATCCCTAGCACCACAAAAAAAGAAATTAGAAGTTCCCTATAACCTATGCCAGCTCCCTCTACAAAGTAATGACATTTTTCTATGTAAAATATTCATTTTTTTCTTCTTTTGAGACAGTGCTTTATGTAGTCTAGGTTGATCTATGTTCCCAATGCTGTAAATTATTTTATTATTATATATTTAGGTGTTTTGCCTGCATGCTTGTCTATGCACCACATATATGTAGTGTCTGAGGAGCCATAAGAGGGTACTGGATCCACCAGAACTAGAGTTACAAATGGTTTTGAACCAACATGTGGGTGCTGGGACTTGAACCAGGGTCTTCTGGAAAAGCAGACTGTGTTCTTAACCAGTGAGTCATATCTCCAGACCCTGTTGTTGAATTTTTATCTTTCTATCTCTGCTTTGAGTGTGGAGAAGTGAGCCGCCATGTCCAGTTGATGTCCAGCTGAATTACATCTCCTCGTAGTCTTTTGTTATTTAGTTTTATTATTTATTTGTTTGTTTGTTTGTTTATGTATAGACAGGGTCTTACTATGTAGCTCTGACTGTCCTGGGATTCACTATGTAGACAGATTTCTGCCTGCTTCTTCCTTCCAAGTGCTGGGTTTAAAGGTGTGCACCACCGTACCAGCATTTCCTTGTTTTTGTTGTTGTTGTTCTTGTTTTGTTATTAAACTTTAATCCACTTCAACATTTCAAAGACAAAAAGCAGCCAGTACTACTCTCAGAAGAAATAGTTTATCATTTTAAATAAGGATGGCTTTGACAAGAAGCACATACGTTAAGATCAGAAAATCTGTATGTCATGTGAACTCCTCTTTCTGGTGGCTGTGTTGGTGGTGGGCAGTGGTGGCTCTCCACCATGCAGTTCCTGATCTGTGTCACTTGGTTTGCAGTGACCCCATCTCCAGCTAAACATCGGGCCAAGATGGATGATATCGTGGTTGTAGCTCAGGGCTCTCAGGCCTCCAGGAATGTCAGCAATGATCCTGATGTCATCAAGCTGCAAGAGATTCCAACCTTCCAGCCCCTTTTAAAAGGTGAGAGGTTATACTTTGTGTTATCTGGACTTGCCAGGGAGGTTTATATATGGTCCCACGACTCTTTCCCCACATACCTGTATGCCTTGGCATCGTCTCTGAAAAGTCTTCCTTGACTGCTCTGTCTGAAAGTGGAGTCTCTTTCCCTGACTTTTTTTCTGTAGCACCTAATCACCTCTGACCTATTGTAAAATAGAAAACATTTTTACGTGTCTATTTGTTGTGTATGTGTGTGTATGTCACAGTTTGCATATAGAGGTCAAAGGACAACTTTTGTGAGTGTGTTCTTTTTTGCCATCATGTGGGTACTGGGGATCAGGTCAAGTTATCAGGCTTGGCACCTTTACCTACTGAGCCATCTTGCCAGCCCAGTAGGTTTACTGTCTATTTTTCTGTTAGTATGTGAGCTTTACGATGACAGGAACTTTCTGTTTCTTCCACTATTGAAGTCCAGCCCCCAAGATAGAACTGATATAAAACAAGGATCAATTAAATTAGTGAATGAACTTATGTTACTAGAGATGGTCCTTCAGTTGACTGGTTTAATTCCATGAAAAGGTTTTCGTTGATTGTGTGATCTAGACTGTGGTATGGATGACTAGTTTAGACTCCTAGAAAGGTTCTGTCACCACTGATGCACTAGTGATTAATTCTGGCAACTGCTTTACACGAGAGAAAAGTATGCTTACGAGAGGAGAGGTTTCCTACCCGATTAGCATACTTCAAGGTGCTTGTATGAAGACCATAACTTTGTTGTTTTTGTATCTCCATTAAGTGGAGTTTATTTTCTTTATCTTTTGTGTGTGAGAGTGTTGTGTGTGTACATGCTTGGAAGCCGTAGGTCAACTTCCAGTGTTGTTCTCAGGAGCCATCCCCCTTGTTTTCTGAAACAGAGTCTCCCTATTCCTGGGAATGATTTTCTGTTAACTGAACAGTGCTTCTGCTGTATGAGTTCCTCAGATTCCCTGCCTCTACTCCCACAAAAACACCCAAACAAAACCTAAGCAATAATGAGCATAAATAAGGTTGTGGTTTACGTAACCTGCATCTTTCTTTATTTTTTTATAACAATACCACAGACTGAGAAATTTATAAAGAAAAGAGGTTAATTTACCTTACACTTCACGATGAAGACCATAGCTCTGGTATCCTCTTGACATCTGCTGAGAGTCTCCCTGCTGGGTCATGTCGTGAAGGGAGATATTACTTCACACGGCTGAGCAAGCTGCTAACTTGATCTCTCTTTCTCATCAAATAAAGCCATTCATGCACTCATAAGGCTCCACCTTCATGACCACATCCCATCCTGATTACCTTCCAAAGGTCCCGCCTGCAAATCCCATTAGCCTGTAGAGGTAACAAACACCCAGACAAGAACAAGCTGACTCTAATAAAGCATCTTATATAGTTATCTGTATTCAATGTACCCTGGCCCCCCATATGTACACACACCATTCTTTCATTCTTGCGTCACTGAGTTTGTTTTAGTGATGTGTGCAAGATCAGACATCTGGCAGATAGAGCCTGCACTTGAAGTGTCTTCGCCGCTGTCGAGTCCTACCCGAGTTACACTGTTCCATGCTGTGTTCTTCCCAGCGATTATCTGCTGTACACTGGAGACCATTCACACTTTCACTCTCCCCTGTCATGGCCACCAGGCTAGACTTTAACAACCCTCTACTCTAATGAAAGAGGGGATTACACTCTGCTGCTTACTCATCTGCTCATGCCTTTCCCCTATTCTGAGAAGTAGCGTGATTCTCCAAAGAAGTCAGCCTTCCAGATGAAATTCCACCTTCCTGTGAATTTGCCCAATCTTGAGAAACATGACAGATACTGATGTCCCACACTCTGCCCTCCCTGGATCTGCTGGAGTACTGTCCACCGTCAGTTTCCACATGCCTGCTTCCTGTCAACTCCTTCTTCTCAGTCCCCAAAGTCTTCTAGTCCTTCACTGGTCTTCTGTGACTTATTCTTGACTTCTTCGCCCTAGGGTAATACTAAAAGCAAACCAGAATTTGAGATTTTCATAATAATTTTCCAGGATGAGGTGTTTAATCATTTGACATGATTCACGTGAGAATAAACGACCAGTAGGGAAAGCACCTAGGAGACGACTTGGGATGAAGGGAAGCTACCGGGAGTGAAGGTCATCCACCGGGAGCATGAGTGGTAATTGTGATACAAGTGAGTGCCCACCTGGACTTGGTTACCTTAGTAACCAGGCTGTACTACATCGAGAGCTGGTACAGCGGAGAGGAAAGCTGGGGAGGGCCAGGTGACTCTGAGTACTCACCTGGGTTTGGCTAAAGAAGATAGAGAGCTCACGTGATTGGAAATGGCGGTGTGAAGCTGTGCTCAGACCACAGGCACAACCACAAGGCAGTGAGTGTTTGCAGGTGCTGTGTGTCATCTGTGAGCAAGAAACCCCTTGGACAGCGATTGGGAAAGACGGGCAACAGGAAAACTGAGTAGACAATGATGTGTCCAGTTCCCCTCAGTACTTCCCTACGAGAGATTTAAACATTGGGATTCACATTAAATTCCCGGCTAATATCACTGGCTGTATCAGTATCCCATCTTCAGAAGGTATCGGGATATGCCAGCCATGGAGAAGGACTTGTTCCCATTGTAGCACAATCTGTTCTATAAATCACAGCTATCCTAGGGAGGTGTGTGTGTGTGTGTGTGTGTGTGTGTGTGTGTTAGCTTGTTTGGATTTTAGGTGCCAAATTTCTTGCACAGCCTCCTGCTTTGACATTGTTCTGCCTGGTAATTTAAATCTCTGGCCCCTGCCTGCTGGGCTGTTGTAGGAGTTGCTGGCGACTCAGTACTGTTGCCTTTATACTGCCCTCTCTCTTCCCCCCCTTGCTTGCTTTCAGGGTGAGGCAGTTTCTTAAAGTAGTAAAAAAAAAAAAAAAAAAAAAAAAAAAAAAAAAAAAAAAAAGGCCACCCAGTGAAGGCTATACCCGCCAGGTTTGATTTCAGAAAGCTTTTATTCAAGTTAATGACAGTTTATTCTTTCAAAACAATATATTCAACTCTTACAGAGTTCACTATTGTTCCATAATGTCATATGAGGTAAGCTGTTGCTGGTGGGTGATCTGCAGAGGCAGAGACTGGGCAAGTTTGGGGCTATTTGTATGACTGAGGTAATGTTTGCATTTTAATAAGCAAGCAGAGTCTTTGGTTTTAACTCTTTTGTGTAAATATACCAGGGTATCATTTATAGTTTATAATACAAATATCTGTTCCTAACATTTTTTTCAAGTCAAAGAATTTCTATTTTTTCATAACAACATCTGAGTTTGCAATTTATTTTCATATGTGAAACACTTACTAGAAAAGGGAAGAAAACTTGAAAGTAGCAATGTGGCCATGACAGAACACAGTAGCAAATTGTTGATTTCATGTACGTTACTAAGATTCCAATGAATTAAATAAGCCCTACACATTCTTACTTAAAATTCAACCACTTATTTTTTAAATGAAGCTCACTCTATTTTATATCATTCTATAGGAATGAAACATTCGCAAGAGAAATGCAATATTGTTTTTATGTCAAAGTTACAAAAATATACTATTCATTTTTGGTGGATGAATAGATGCATACACACACACAACATTGTTTGTGACTGACCTGCCATTTTTAATCATGACCTTGGATATAACATAAGGGGTTGTCCTAGAGCCTAAGAATGGACTGTCCTTGTTACCAGCCAGGAAGGTCTCGGTTATACAACACAGATGCTACGTGACACTAAGCAGCTTTGTTGGTGTTTTGAGAGTGGGTGTTAAGAACAGAAGGCATGTGAAGTGGATTCTGATTATTAAAGAGCTTGGAGCTGGGTGAGGGGGTGCATGCCTGTAGTCCTAACACCAGGAAGCAGAGGCAGAGAGATAGCTGTGGCAAGCCTGGGCAGATAATACAAAGAAAAGGAAAACAAAAACAAACAAAGCCAGCTTTTTTGGTCTTTCTCCTGGTGGAGCTAAATGACATAGAGCAGCAGTAAAGGGTCTCAGACCCTTGGAACTCTTGGAACTCTCAGAACACTGAGAACTCTGCTTAGCTGGGGGAAAGGATGAGGAAGAAGAGGAAGAGGAAGTGGACTTTCTTAGGATCAGTTCTGCTACCATGTTCCGCCACTCCTGTCACTCAAATATAGACAGCTCTCTCCACCAGCTGCCAGACATCCCTGAACTGGAAAATGGTGTACTGCAGCATGGCCTGAGAGAATGGATCTCTATTTAAAAACTTCCTGTTTGTGTCTTTCACATCATGTACCCTGATCCTACCCGAGAATGGGTCTTAATCAGACAGACTTCTCTGAATAGCTTAAAGTGTTCCCAGTTTCTCCCAAACACCATGTTGAAAAAATTGGTAGCTTATTCTTGACTCCTTTGTCTAGTAGCTTTTGGGTTAAGCTTTCCAGCATGAATTATTCATCAGAAAGACCCAGCCTAAATGAGTGAGAGGAAATACAAGGAGAAGCGTTGCTTACATCGAGGGAAGGTGAAGCTGTCTTCAGAGCAGCAGCAGTGTTTTGCTCTTCCCAGCAAGCCCGCGGGCCTGCATTCTTGCTTGTTTCTTCCATCACGTCTCAGAGATGCCTGTCTTCTGCTGCAGCACTCCACACACATTTCCTTGGCTTCTGTCTCCTTTCCTCTGCCTCTGACTTGGTCTACCTCTTTTCTCTTGTTCAGATATATACAGAAAGGATCTTTAAAATTTCCTTTGTTTAGGTTCCATTGTCCCTCCTAGCTACCATGCTTTGATCTTTTGTTTAAATCTCTGCTGCGGAACCTACTTACCGTCCCTTTCTCCTTCTGCTTTTGCATTTTGAAATGTAGGCATCAGCTTCAGCTTTCTGTTGTAGCTCTCTAGCTTTGAACCAGTCTTTTAGCCCTGTACTATTCCTTTGTTTACTTTTTTTGTTTTTTGCTTTTGTTTTTGAGATAGAGTTTCTCTGTGTAGCCCTGGCTGTCCTGGAACTCACTCT